ATTGGTGGAGGGGTGGGTGCCGCGGATCGATAGGATATCTGCCGTCCGTCGCGGGGCGCGGTGGACGACCCAGATGCGCCTTGGCGCGGATCGCTGACGTGGCTGAAAGTAGGTGGGCGGGGAGCACACGGGTTTCGGCCCACGCGCGCGCATCTCCCGCGGCGGGGATTTGGGTTCAATTTGCTTTTCGATCTTTTCTCCAAACAAAATGTTTTTCGACCGACCTTTTTTTTTGCTGCAAAGCACTTGCTTTTTTTTTCAAAAGTAGCATAGTTCAACTTCAGTAGTGAATCGGTTGCAATACATGGGGTTAATCTACTACCAGTATTACATGTGGGATTCCCATTATCCTCGATTTCATGGCATGCAAGGCCGTCGAAGAAAAAATCGCAACTTTATTCGATTCCAAGGAGCATGGATATGCTTCAAATTGTAAGGTTTATCGGCTTTGTATTGAGAATCGCAACATTGGTGACCATGCCAACGAGCCTGGTGCTATCCCATGTTTGATCACTTTTATGCGCCGTTTGGATGTTGACGTTGAGGCCCGGAATCGAATATTTGCATTTCATCTGGGAAGCACGAATGTCGTTCTTCGACGGGTCTCGGTGTTTAGTCTCGGCATCGTAGAAGAATATTCACTGGATATGAAGGGAGGAACCCTCGCGAAAATCTTTTGATAACCACTACAGTCCGCGGCAAGCCACTACCATAGACCGGAGTAGTCACCATAATGACCAACACCTATAGTGGAGCACACCAACGCTCACTACCACCTCACCGGAGAAAGCCTTGCACATGCTCGTTGGCCCGGGGGCGACATGGTCGAAAATGAGCACCAAAGAGGAATCACCATGGCCAACGTGCGCCGGCGAGCGCGGTGGGTTTATAGGCGGGGAAGGCGGGCTCTGATTGGTGGAGGGGTGGGTGCCGCGGATCGATAGGATATCTGTCGTCCGTCGCGGGGCGCGGTGGACGACCCAGATGCGCCTTGGCGCGGATCGCTGACGTGGCTGAAAGTAGGTGGGCGGGGAGCACACGGGTTTCGGCCCACGCGCGCGCATCTCCTGCGGCGGGGATTTGGGTTCAATTTGCTTTTCGATCTTTTCTCCAAACAAAATGTTTTTCGACCGACTTTTTTTTTTTGCTGCAAAGCACTTGCTTTTTTTTTCAAAAGTAGCATAGTTCAACTTCAGTAGTGAATCGGTTGCAATACATGGGGTTAATCTACTACCAGTATTACATGTGGGATTCCCATTATCCTCGATTTCATGGCATGCAAGGCCGTCGAAGAAAAAATCGCAACTTTATTCGATTCCAAGGAGCATGGATATGCTTCAAATTGTAAGGTTTATCGGCTTTGTATTGAGAATCGCAACATTGGTGACCATGCCAACGAGCCTGGTGCTATCCCATGTTTGATCACTTTTATGCGCCGTTTGGATGTTGACGTTGAGGCCCGGAATCGAATATTCGCATTTCATCTGGGAAGCACGAATGTCGTTCTTCGACGGGTCTCGGTGTTTAGTCTCGGCATCGTAGAAGAATATTCACTGGATATGAAGGGAGGAACCCTCGCGAAAATCTTTTGATAACCACTACAGTCCGCGGCAAGCCACTACCATAGACCGGAGTAGTCACCATAATGACCAACACCTATAGTGGAGCACACCAACGCTCACTACCACCTCACCGGAGAAAGCCTTGCACATGCTCGTTGGCCCGGGGGCGACATGGTCGAAAATGAGCACCAAAGAGGAATCACCATGGCCAACGTGCGCCGGCGCGGAGTGCAACCGTTGCTAGATCAATAGTGCAAAACCTCCAGATCAGCACCCACCTCAAGCACGCCGGTCGCCGTGCCTCAACCACGTCATCGCATCGCCACCTCGCATTTGCGCCTCTGCCGGAAGCATGTGATCGCGTCGCCAACCCTATAGGGCGATGGCAACTCAGGTGTGCCCAAGACCAACGCTCCATAGGAAATATGCCCTAGAGGCAATAATAAAGATATTATTTATTTCCTCATATCATGATAAATGTTTATTATTCATGATAGAATTGTATTAACCGGAAACATAATACATGTGTGAATACATAGACCAACATAACGTCACTAGTATGCCTCTACTTGACTAGCTCATTAATCAAAGATGGTTATGTTTCCTAACCATAGACATGTGTTGTCATTTGATTAATGGGATCACATCATTAGGAGAATAATGTGATTGACATGACCCATTCCGTTAGCCTAGCACTTGATCGTTTAGTATATTGCTATTGCTTTCTTCATGACTTATACATGTTCCTGTAACTATGAGATTATGCAACTCCCGTTTACCGGAGGAACACTTTGGGTGCTACCAAACGTCACAACGTAACTGGGTGATTATAAAGGAGTACTACAGGTGTCTCCAAAAGTACATGTTGGGTTGGCGT